ATTTTACTTGCAAGCCAATGAAGAATGTTAATTCTCCCATCATGCTCATTTCAAACTCGCTCTTCATTAAGGTAGAGAACTTATCACAGTGCCTCTGGTTCGTTGAACCAAATATAATGTCGTCCACATAGATCTGGACTAGGAGCATCTCACTTTTATGCCTCTTAATAAACAAAGTGGTGTTGATTTTTCCAATTTCAAAACCATTTGATAAGAGAAAAGACGAAAGACGTTCATACTAGGCTCGTGGAGCTTGTTTAAGTCCATACAGAGCTTTGTCTATGAAGTAGACATACTCTGGATGTGTGGAACTTTCAAACCCTGGAGGTTGATGAACGTAGACCTCCTTCTTCAGCTTTCCATTCAGAAAGGCTGACTTGACGCCCATTTGATAGACTCATAATCCTTTATGTGTAGAGAAGGCTAGGAATAAGCAGATAGCTTCTAGCCTTGCAACTGGGACAAAGGTCTTGTCATAGTCTATGCCTTCTTCTTGGCAATAGCCATTTGCTACAAGTTTGGCTTTGTTCCTTACTACAATGCCGTCCTCATCCTTCTTATTCCTGAAAACCTACTTACAACCAATAACAATTTTATCCCTAGGTAAGGCAACAAGAGTCCATACCTTGTTTCTTTCGAATTGTTGGAGCTCTTCTTGCATGGCATCAACCCAACTTGGGTCTTGTAGGGCTTCATGAACTTTCTTATGCTCTACCATGCTTAGAAAGTTTACGAATAAACATTCATTTGTAGTGGCAGCTCTAGTCTTCACACCACTTGAAGGTTTACCAATTATCTGATGAAGAGAATGATCCTTTGTCTATTTTGTCGTTGGGACTGAACAGAGGTTGGAGTCATTGGATCATGTTTCATAGATATGTTAGGCATTTCGCTCATGGATGATGACGAAGGTTCTGCTTGCTCCCCCTCGGATGATGGTACAGAGGAACCAGGTTCAAAGACAGAGATATTATGCTCCGACTATAAAGGATTGGGCTCTGATCCAAAGTTGGAGGGCTCTGGTCATGGATTCGCATGATCACCAGAGGAAGCAGAGGTGTGAGAAGGGCTAAAAATTGATGTGCTTGCAGTTTGTGGCTCTTCACTAACACGTGCAAAATCATCTCTAGGTGCATGTACAGAGATGTCCTCGTCGCCAAAGAAGTCTTCAAATAAAATCATGAGTTCCAATTCCCTTGACTTCGTTAGAGAATTGGAAGTCGTCTTGTTAAGTTCGAGTTCAGAGCTGAGTTACTCTAAAGTCACATGCTCTTTATCGTCGAACGAGACGTTGATGCTTTCCATGACCGTCTTGGTTCATTGGTTGAAGACTCTGTAGGCCTTGGCTTGTGTAGAATATCCAAGAAACTTGCCTTCATCGGCCTTCTTATCAAATTTGCCAAGTTGATCACGGTCATTCAAGATGAAGCATCTGCAACCAAAGATGTGCAAAAATAGGCTTCCATTGGTTAATAAGTTCATAAGGCGTCTTCGTGTGATTTTTAACCACCGTTGCTCTATTTTAAATGAAGTAAGCGGTTGAAATAGCTTCTGCCCAGAAGTAGGTTGGAAGGCTAAAGTCTGCTAGCATTGTTCTTGCAGCTTCGACTAATGTGCGATTCTTTCTTTCTACTACAACATTTTGTTGCCGTGTTCTTCCAGTATAGAAGTTTTGAGATATGCCCTCCTTCTCCAGGTACACATTGATTTTTGCATTCTTGAACTCAGCTCCATTATCACTTCTCAGCTTTTGAATTTTGGTCTGTAGAAGAGCTTGAATCTTTGTCATTATCTTGATGAGCAGCTCTGGACATTTGACTTCTGGCTTACAAACACAATCCAAGTATATCGTGAAAATTCATCAATAAGCACAAGGATATACTTCTTTCCAGACAGAGTCTGCACAAAGATTGGACCACAGAGGTCCACATGAAGCATATTCAGAGGTCTAACGCATGACACATCTATCTTTGTTTTGTGGGATGCTCTTTTGAGCTTTCCCATTTCACAAGCAGGACTGAGATGGTCCTTTTTGAACTTTATAGCTGGTAGTCCGTCAACCAGATTATTTTTCACAAGCTTCTCTATATTTTGAAAATTCAAATGAGACAGCTTCTGATGTCAGAGCCAAGCTTCTTCACACTTACGAGATATGAAACAGAGTCTCTGAATTATCTCTTGGTGAGAAGTTCATAAGGTATAGATTACCCTTCCGTTTGGCTTTTAGCAACTCCTGACCTTATTCTGATATAATAGAACAAACTTTCTTTTGGAAGTTCATATTGTAGCCAGAATCACAAAGTTGACTTATGCTCAAAAGATTATGTTTAAGCCTAGAGACATAAGCAACCTTAGAGACAGAAACCTTACCTTGGTGAAGATCTCCATATCCTTTGATTTCTCATTGTATATTATCCCCAAAGGTTACTCGTCCTCCAATTTTCTCTCTATAAGAGGAAGTAGCCTCTTGTTGCTAGTCATGTGTCTTGAGCATCCGGACTCATGATACCAAATGTCCACATGTGGCTTCTACAAAACAAATTATAGGGATTTAGGTACCCATTTCATGATGGGTCCTCGATGATTTAGGCTTAGGAGATTGAATTTTAGCTTGGGGGAGAGGATCTGTCTCAACACCTGAGTTACTAGACTTGAGATCTGATTTGCCAAATTTGGCCTTAGAAGTGTTCTTCTTTTGGGTCTTCTTGGAATTAACCCTTGATGACCCAGAGAGAATGCAGTTAGATTAGAGAGATGTTGCTTTAACTTTTGTAGCAGAGAAAGACATTCACAAGTATAAACACATTTTTTATGACAAAAAGGTTTATTTGATTCATAAAACATGTTATTACAATCATTCCTAGCATTGTTAGTTCTAACGAACTTCCTATCTAGTTTAAATTGTTTAGACTTCTCAGAATGAGTCTTCTCTGTCCTCTCCTTATCCCTTCTTACTCCTTTGGCCTTCAAAGGCTTCTCTGAAACAGAGAAATTTAAAATAGAGTCAGCATCGGATTTTCCTTTCTACTTCGGAGTGAACTTAATTGGTATTTCAGATTTAGGTTTAAAAACCTTTGATGCAGAGGTAATAGGTTTAGTTTTCTTTGCCCTATATTCAAGCTTTAGAGAGGATTTAGCTCTTTGAGACATGTCTACGAAATCAGGACCTATGGGAATCTTTTTCCTTTGCCTCATTGCTGAAAAAAAATTATTAGATTTCCCATTTGAAAGTTTCACAACTTCTGGTCCTGTAGCCACTATCTTTGTCTCAACTTGCTCTTTACTCGAGTCCACCTCTAATTCTGAGTAAGAGTCAAGAAAATCCTTGTGTGAATTTTTAGTTATAGATGTATCATTGATAGCTTGAGATTATCGTGTACATGAACTAGAGCCTTCATCCTTCTTTTGCGTTGAAGAAAAATTTCCAAAAGTATCCGAGGAATTACTCTAACAAGTATCTGTATGAATTACTCAAAGACTTGTCTCACCATTTCTGTGAAGTCATTCATTAACTTTAGATCCAGAGTTTTAACAAAGTTATCTGTCGATGAACTCTTGGTTTCATCTGGTTCAGGTTTAACAACATCACCATTTGTTTTAAGATGTTCAAGATTATTAGAGCCAAAACAGAAAATCCCCTCTGTCTTCTGTATGCTTTTTAGATCAACCGGTTGCATATTTTTTGAAGAATAAGAGATGTTCTCAAACTTTAACATTTGATTCTGACCCCATTCTCAAGTTTACATCTTTTGAAAGGTGAGTTTTTAGGCAAAGCTGGAAAATCTAGTTTTTGCTCTGCCCCTAACCTAAACACAGATTCAAGAGCGGATTTCTTCTTCCAGGTGAGGTCTAGGTCTGTATAACCTATCCGTGCTTTAACCTGTTGAGAATTAATCTTTTCATACACCTGCTGAGCATCTTCATACTTTTTTAATCAAGAGCTCTTTTCATTGCAAGCTCTGGTGTAGGAATTCCCTTTCCGTTTGAAAATAATTTTTCAAGGTTTCAGAATTTAGCCTGTCATGCTCTTTTTCTAAAAGTTCCTTTTCCTTTTTCCGTATAGCCTCTTTTAGTTCAGAGCACTCTGATTTAAGATTGTTTTCAATGGAGTGTTTTATTTCTAAAAGTTTTTCTTCCACTGATAGCTTGTTTTTCTACAGACAATAACTTTGTCTCACGTTCAAAGAAAGATTTTTCCTTTTCCATAGATTTCATTTTAGATTTCTCGATAGAGAGTTTTTGCTGTAGTTTAATGAAATTGTGAGTTATAGCAGAGATGTTTTCTTTTAGATCGGAATGAGAATAACCAAAGGTATAACATACCTGGGAGTCGGAGCCAGATCCAGACTCTTTTGCTCAGCCATAAGACTTCTGTGGGATCGATTATACTTGTACTTATTTTTATAGTACAATTCATCTTTCACCAAAGGGACTTTGCAATCTTTGGAGTAGTGACCCATCTTCCCACATCTGAAGCATCTAATCGCATGCTTCTTCTGTTCTGACTGCTCTTCCTCCTTGTTTTGCACAGAAGGAGGGTTCCTTCCTTCGAAGTCTGACCTTCTATTTTTGTCGCTTTGACCTCCTCTCTTGTCGAAGACTTTCTTCCCAAATTTCCTTTGAAATTCCTTGGTGATCAAAGCCAAGGAATGTGCAAAAGCACTGATGTCATCATTTTCAGAGCTTGAGGCTCTGTCTTCATCGTCGCTCTTCACAACAAGAGCCTTCTTCTCTCTTCTCTTCTCCTTCTTCGATCTTCTCTCTTTGTGTTATTGACTAGACCATTCTCTTTTGAGTTAGACACAAGAGCCAGTGGTCCACCCAGAGCAACCTTGGCCTTCTGCACCTCTTGCTTCTGCGCTTGCAAGGTGTTGTACATGTCATGAAGACTCCATTACTCCAGATCTTAGTTTGCCTGGAGAGACATGGTCAAGTTCCCCCATTCTGCATTCAATCTTTTCAAGAAGAGCATATTCATCTCCTCTTGAGTTCTGATCACATCACATTTTCTGCACGAGATACTCATCAGGAAGAGCTTGGAAACTGTTGTACTCATTTAGACATTGAGCAAGACGTTTCTTCTTCATCTTAATTCCACCTTCCAGCTGGTTTGCCAATTGATCCCATAGATCCTTGGCAGATTCACAGGCATCTAGAGATTCAAAAATCTCAATTGGAAGGGCCATGATTAAAAGCCTCTTGGCTTTTTGGTCCACTTCCACTATCTTTTTGTCCTCATCATCCCAATCTCTACAGAGCTTGGGAACTCGTCTGGCAGGTACTTCGACCGTGTCGCCAACAACAGGAATTCCGGGAATTAGGGTAGTAGGTACGAAAGGGCCGTTTAAAATAGATTCATAAAGTTCAAGGTCGAGACCTTCATAAAAATTTATCATCCTGATCTTCCATTGGGATATTCTTCCCTAATGAGAGTCAGAGGTTTTGTAAGGGAACCAGCGCTATACATGGAGTCCCACGATTGACTAGACATTTTGTTCAAAGATTTTGAGAAGAATTTTGACTTGAAAGTGAAAGTCGAGTTTTGACCGATTTCAAGAATATGAAAAGCAAACGTTTTTTAAACAGATCAAAGATTTGAATGAAATTCCTTTTAAAAAACGAATAACTAGAAATTAAGAGAGGTATCCTTATGGATATCGATCGACTAATCAATGAATTTGATTTGTTGGCTCTGATACCAATTGTTGGAACCCAAATTCTCTTAATAACAGAAAACACAGTTGAATGAATTTGAATGGAATAAAAACTGTGTAATTGAAAGGTCAAACGAAGTATTCAATAAAGATAAGAACACAAAATGACTTTGAATACCTTGGATGCTTTTATTAGATGAGAAGAAAACAATAAGAACTCTGTCAATCTAATTTGTATTCTCACAAGGTTTGGCTATACTCTAAGTCGGCACAATCAGGTTATTGTAACCTGAAGAGGATGCCTTCTTATATACGCCTAAGTCAAACAAAATTTGCTAAAAATCTTGGCTTGAATCTCTTAGCGTTTATTCCACATCCTTATCGTTGACGACCCTTGAATAGTGGAGCGGACTAAGTCAAGCCGTCTTGATTTTGTTTGACGCTTGCGAGAATGTCTAAATTAAGCGCGCTTTCCATGTAGTTAGGAGACCCAAAGGCTCTGCATATAATATGCAGAGGCTCTGTGTCTAGAGTGTAGCTCTTTATCAAGCGCTTAAGCTTTTTGGCGCTTAAGGCTTGATCTTCTACGGAATAGATGAGATATTGGCTCTTTGAGTAAGAGCTCTGTCTCTTTATCTCTTCTGCATGAGAGTTCTTAGTCCAGACAGCTTCAAAAGACTAAGTCTTACGGACTAGAGTAAGAGGCTTCTTACTTACACATCACAAGATGGGTCTAACAATATCCCTACCAACAAAACAATATACGAGAACGCTGATGCCTTCCTCAGGATATCCCCCATCACCTGCGCTCTCAACCATGAACCTGTCATGGTTAGGGAGGCCTTGCCGCAATTCTAGATGACTGATGAAGTGGTGCAAGAAGAGGACAAGAATGGTCATCAGGTGGAGAAGTCACCTTCACCTTAAACAGGATGACTGTAAGCTTTGGCATGAGCACTCTCAGGCACGCTCTTCACTTCCCAAAGGGTCCATTCGCCAGAGACCCTACTACTGAAGAAATCATCTTTTTTCTCGATGACATTGGCTACCAATGGCCAATGAAGGACTCCAGCGAGCGTCTCAAGTGGCTGTCCAAGATCGAGAAGAACTGCATGTCTATGGTGTGCCAGTTCTTGTTCTCTCATTTCATCTAGAGCATGGATGGAAAGACGGGCGGCCAGAATCAAGCATCCAGGGTTGCTCTCACCATCGGCGTCTCAATGATCCATCGGCGATCGATCAACTTCGCCGCTATAATCTTCGACAACCTGGCGCTTAAGCTGAACAAGCGTCAGAGGGAGAATTTCAATGGTTTTCACTAAGAACTTTGGCAAAAACTATACCAAGGAAGGTAACCATCTTGTGTGCAAGCTTGGATCCCAGATTCTGGATCACAAGCTTAGGGATGGAGATGTTGCACTCCCTTCAGTGGTGCAATATTCTTCAATTCCTTCTTCTTCTTCTCCCTCCCATGTAGTCAAGACAACGGAAAAACCCCCCAAGTCTAACCCAACCACTACAAGCCATTCCTTTTCAGGTCCTTCTGAGGAACAAGCCATGGACGAAGAAGAATATGACATGGCGACGGACGTGAAGTTGCTCTTACCAGCAGTCGAGACTGTCCTCATCAAGATGGACGAGGTCCATAAAGACATGTCTCGCAGGGACAAAGTCGCTGCTGACCTCTTAGCCATCAGGGCTGAAGTTGAAGAAGTCAAAGACCAACTCTCTTCTCTCCAAGTGGATGTTTAAGCCAATGCTGAGGCCATCGCTTCTCTCATGATCAAGTCCGATGAAGCAAACTCCCACTATCTCCAGCAAGCGTAGTTGATGCGGCAAGTGTTGGTTGCTCTCCATCAACCAGTTCCAGTGCCTCTTTCTTCATTTACCACTAATGATCGCGCCCAACTAAACAAAGCACGTGAAGCAACTATAAGCCTAGCCAGCGCTCTGACATGTCTAGAGGAGATAATGGTGCTTCAAATCCAGAGCGTCGACCAACTCTCTTGCTATTGCTCTAGAGCTATCGCCAGAGAGGGGGAGATAAGGTCTGACGTTGGACAATCTGGACCATCAACTGCCACCGTCCCCCCTGAAACTGTTGCTCTAGCAACCAATGAAGCTGAAGCTCCTAGAGCTGAAGTTGACGCTGAGGATGTCAATGATACCCCAACCTTCTATGAAGCTCCTGTAGCTGAGGAAGTTGATGTCGTCCGAGCTGAAGCTGAAGCTCGCGACGATGACCTTCCCATCACCTCTGCAAATAATGCTAGTGATGTGGAAGAAGATAACGATGAAGAGGATGATAATGAAGATGGTGAGTCTTCTGACCTTCCTGACTCTGGAAGCGACCTGGACGATGATGATGATGATGATGACGATGAAGACAACTTCACCATCCAGTACCAGCATCCTTCTACTGCTACAAAACGTGTATCCCTCTAAGATTTTGCATCCCAGGGGGAGCAAAGAGGAGATGAGGCTGCTCAAGAATCACACCAGGGCACCAAGTCTAAGGGAAAAGGTGTCGGTTGCAGAAGGGAACCTCAAGGTACTTTTCAAACCCCTTGAACCCTTGTATGATGAGTCCTTAAGCAAAATTACAATAACTTCCATGTACCAACTATCAATTCTCTCAACTACCTGCGGTCGACTGGAGGAATGGGTCCCTAAGAACCCAACCCCAGTGCTCCTATCGACCAGCAGATGACTCAGCTCAGGGAGTCACTCGACCAAACTAGAGTAAAAATTCCTCTTCGTACCTCTAGTTCTGGTGAGTTCAACTTCTTAACCGAAGCTGAAAGATTCGAGGCTCTCAAGGCCGAGAAAGAACTTACACTTCAAAAGAAATAGAGTGAGGACAGCTTAAAGTTGGCCAAGTCTCTAGCCGCAAAAGTTCTTTGAAAAAGAAAATCCAAAAAGACTTTGAACGTTGTTCAGGCCCAAGCTAAGCTTCTGTCTATTGCAGAGGTTGCACATGAAATGAACCTGAAGCTAGCCGAACGTGAAAAGTGTTGGAGCGAAGTTTGCATTAACAAGAGAATCAACCCTCATTCAATTACAAACGTCAGAATCAGCGGATGAATGAAAGAGGGTGGGATGCAGATATCTATGCTCATCACCAGGAATAACCTTGAGGCGGTCACCGAGTACCCTTCCTACCTAGGCGAATATGGCTACAATGAATGGCTGGAGATCCACTAAGCCATTCAGAGCTCAAAGTCCAGACATAAGTCGATTATCGAAGACATCATTAGCGAGCTGATCAAGAAGGTGTCCAGGTTTGTCGCGGTCCCTGAAAGGCCAACGCTGAAGAAAGGTGGAAGAAGAAAAAGACGTTTAAGCCCTAATGATGGACCATCCATGAGGAACGAACATGAAACAAAGTTCTCCTTAGATGAATTCCGGAAGGCTTCGAAGAAGCCAGACATATCGATGTTGAATCTCTCAATGCCAGCGAAGGGTCCTGTTGGTCCCGAAAGGGTCTACAAGATAAGAAACAATTTGTAGAAGGGGGGGGGATGAATACAAACACAATGTTTTCAAATTTAAAATATATATTGATAGAGAAGATCAATACATATTTTACAATACTATTTGCAGAAAGATAAGGTAAAGAAAAACCTATCTAAACAATCTTTGGTTACACATGAAGCTATAGCAAACACAGAAAAGAGAATGCTATATGAAAGATCCTTTACTTAAGCTAGAGGATGCTTGAAGTAAGAATTAGGTTGAAGAGTGATGCGTGCACTCTACAAAGAGAAGAAACACTTATATTTATACCCAGTGCATTAAATGAACATTTAATGCAATATGGTAGGTTTAGAGTGCGTGTCAAGCCTTAAGAGGAAGGCTTGTCCTTTGCTATAGTGAATAGTACAAAAGCACTATTCTTGAGCAGACATCCTTGCCTAAAGTTGGTGGATAAAGAGTCGACTAATCAGCTCCGTACCGTACTAACTTTTGCAAGGTATGGGTTTGTCCTTTGTGTGCATAAGGACAAGACAACAACTATCGTGCTAAGCAAGCTTCTTTTGATYGCTGAATGCTGGGATGACCTGGAGGTCTCATCATCATTCGCTGAAGCTAGAGCAGTCTTCACACATATGTAGACAGGTTTATAATCACTGAATACCTCTTCAGATCACGTACTCGCCAGTCTCTAATCTTCAGTTTCATTCTTCGACGTTCACTGAAGGTTCTTTGGTGTGAGTGTTGTCTTCTTGAAGTATTGTTGTCTCTGATGAGTTTACAATGCAAGTTCTTCAGCGATCACTGAACATACTCAGTGATGATCGCTGGAACTAAAAATACAAAAACACAAATACAACGTGAAAGGAAAAA